AAGAAATTGGCTCACACAATTGTAGAACCAGGTCAATTCATGCTGGTTCAAATCCATGGATGAGATGCTAATCTGGAGGCTTTTCCTGATCCACATAGCAATAGGTTCTGGCAAACCAGGAAGCAGGGAGGTGAACCCAGAAGCAGCAAGGCCACAGAGATGCAGGAGTGGTGAACATAATGTCAGCAGGTCATATGGCATTCCACTGGTAACTCTCAGAGCCAGCAACCAATATGGTGGTTTGTTGTCCCAAGTCCAAAGAACCAGAGGTTGATGAGACAAATACAGCATCCACGCTGGTCAGCAGAGGAGAACCTTCTTACAGAGTCTGCTTGAATAAGAGTAGGCCACACCTAAAGAAATGTCCTTTTGATTTCTGGTCCTCTTGTACCAAACTTGGACCCCACAGAAGGCTCACTTGTTGGTCCTAACTGAGCCTTGCTGGTCAGGCAGCAGCGTGGGTCCCAGGTAGGGTCAGAACAGCTTCTCCTCTGCTCTTTGCCGTCTCGGAGACTGCAGGCGATACAGACAGGCTGGGAAGAGACACCAGCCTGTCCTGAAATTCCCGGGACTGAGGGCCGACTCCTCTTTCTCACTCCCCCTCAACAGTGGTAGAGCTTTCATACCCTCTGCTTTACAGGCCTATATGTCCCCCTTCCCTGGCACAGTGGGAGGCCTGGTGGCTTAGTGGCTATACCTTGGGCTGCTAACTACAAGGTCAGCAGTGTGAAACCACCAGCCTCTCTGCGGGAGCAAAACGAGGCTTTGTACTCCCATAGTTTCAATCTCAGAAACTCATAAGGATTGAGCTGCATCTATTTCTAGATTTGTCTTAGAGGAAAGGATAAAGAAGGAGGTTCCCTTCAAGACTGGTAGTTTCATAGTTTGAGTTATTGGTGGACTTACTAATGTCATATCCAACTTGGTGTGCCTCTGCTCACTTGTTTCACAAGGATTCTCAGTCCAGATCTCCGGCCCCATCCCACCTTCACATCAGTTGATCAGAACTAGAGGCAGGGTCAAGGCCAACAGATCTTAGGAGCAACAGAGAGTATCATTTCCCCTGGGTCAGAAAGCATTTCTCTATTGAGTAATTTGTCTACGACTGCTGATGGCTAAATAAGAACGGAAGTCACCTCGAAGTACATAATTACCAATAAAGACTAGCGAGTGAATTGAATTGATTGATGGGCCATTTGGCTTTCTTGCTTGTCCCAGACATCAGGGATTCGCCATTTCCGGAAGGGATGGGAAAATATCGGGTCTGTACTGACGTTTGAAGATGTACCTGTACGAAAATGGCCAATAAGGTTGATTTTCAACAGTAGTTCTCCAGGTGTAGTCCACAGACATCCAGTGTCAGCATCAGGCAGGAAGGAGCTTTTAGGGAATAATGTGCTTTCAAGATAGCTCTCATTCGTAGTGTCCTTTGTTTGAGAAGAGATCTGAAGAATAAAAGGTGGGAATCTGGGGCAGGAGTCAGCCATAAATAAGCATTCCTGCTCCACAAAAGGAGATAAGGGGACCTACGTTCTGCCCCAGAGTCCAGGGAAGAGAAGAGAGAGGAGTGAAGAGAAGGCAGGAGGAGAGGCAGCTGGCAGCAGTCTGGCTTTATGTCAACCTTGAGGGGTCATGGTTCTCCCATGATATGATCTTACATGATGTGGCCAACTCCATGATGGGATCTTCTGTGAAGCAGCCAAGCAGTTAATCTGATCACAGTCTTGATACAATGAAAGAAGATAGCCTTTGAGGTGTGGCTTACACTTAGTATCTGAGAGGGTACCCCCCCCCCCAATGAAATCTTTTTTCAAAGCTATGTGTTTACATTCTTTTTACAAAACAACCTTATCACCTTCAAGTGCTCTCCATTACATTTAATACGTTTGTCAAATCTGTGGTTCCATTCTTGGAAACATTTTTCCAACTCGGTTTGGAGGGCTGATGGCACCTCCCTAGTTTTTTTCTTCACCTCTTCTACATCATCAAATCACTGTACTTTCATGTTCCTCTTCATTTGCAGAAATAAAAAGAAGTTAAACGGAGTGAGGTCAGGTTAGTCAGGTGCAGGGGTCAAGAGAGGCATGCTGGGGTTCCCCACCCCCCAACGGGTTCACTAGGGTGGCTGAGTGAGCAGGTGCATTGTCATGGTGGCAAAAACTATCCCCCGTCTGCCACAAAATGGCACACATTTTTGTCACACACTGTTACAAAATCTTTTCAGAACCTCTAATAGAAATCTCGATTAACAATCTGACCTGGTGGAATGAACTCCAAATGTACTCTGAGTCAACATTTTCATTGTTCAGGAAGCTGACAGACATCCAGTATGAGGTTTGTCATCAATCAACATTTCACCTTTTTTGAAATGAGAAAACCACTTCAACACTTGAGTTTTTCCCATAGCACTGTCCTTGTAAGCTGTGTTCAACATCATCACAACAGTTTCTGTGGCAGTTTTCCTCAGCAGGAAACAACATTTCACAGCTGCACGCTGTTCTCTTAAATCTGCTGTCACGCAAAATGAGGTTCGAGCAAAACTGCTTTCACAAAAAAACTCACTGTGAACAGAGAGAACTTTCCCAGGTGACAACATTGGGTGCACTAACTCAGAGAAAGTTGCGCAAGGCACAAATAGTGGGGAACAGGTGTACTTTGAGAGCTCTGCTCTACTCAGCATAATTCCATTTTTTTTTGGGGGGGGGGTACCTCCTCATAGACTGATGGTGTTCAGAAACCAGCTTACCTGTAACTGTTGGATTTGGATCCTGCATCTGGTTCATCGACCTCCAGGTGTGATCAGCAGACGGCCAACCTTGGATTCATTCTGTCCATCTTGGATTTATTCATTTTGGCATCTGCCAGCCTGCGGTCTTGCCATTTCATTTTTCTGCTTCCTGTTCACCGGAGCATGCAGCCGCAGAAGTAGGAGAATCGTAAAGCTTACATCTATTCTATGGACTGAATCAAACCAGACTTACTCACTTCCACAACAGTGTGAGCCATTTCTTGATATAAACCTCTTTCTCCAGACACATACATACAAACATCACTGGTTTGCTTCTCTAGAGAACCCAGCCTAACACATAATAGGAGGGTTTCCCAGTAGAGGGAAGATGGAAAGATCTTTAAAAAACAGATTCAAAATTCTTTTCTGTGTAGTATGCAATGGGACATGCTTCCCCTAACATGTGACACCCCCCACCCCAAAGTTCCATAGAGCCTTAGACACTCAGGAATTCTTTATGAGGGACAGTTTTGAAGGGCAGGATTTCATGTCTGCATCAACATGGTGTGCCACATTGTGACATTGACAGGTCACTAGAGTAGGGATAAGGGGGGTTGTCTCCATTGAATGCCTACACTATACATTAAAGGGGTTGGGAAGAAATCACTAATTAGACAACTATGGGAAATTCCCAACTGAATATGCTCAACGCCAAGTCACCTAGACCCAGGTGAGAAGTCCACTTGGGCTCACAGACTAGGCACCAGCTACAGGACATCACACAGGTACCCCTAAACTCAGTCAATAAGGTCGGCCAATACCCTCAACCACACCTCCCC